ATACTACAGCTATTTCAACAACTCGTGTAGTCGTGTTGGCGGCCGCTACACGCCGGTGAGAAAACCGGTGCCTGCATGCCATTCATATCATTCAGTGCATTGGTGCCATTTAATGCCATTCGTAATGTCATTTAATTTAAGTAATTATAGACTACCTTAAAAATTTAAGTGGATTAATGAAGTGTTAACAAATGAACTAAAGTGTACGCTATCCTACAGCATGTCATACTCTAACTTATACATGAAGGGATGGTTCGGGCAAGGCCAAATCTGCTGCACTCCGACATGCGACCATGTAATGGCATGCAACCTGATTGGAACAATGCACTATACTTCACAGTGTGTCAATACGGGGCAGGGTAAGTGAGACTTCCACCGCATCGCATGACCCACTGACCCTACTTGTTGACCAAGTGATTAAGTAATTGTGTGATAGTTTGATAGGGCATCTCTGCTATGCATGATTGGGACAGTGACGGAACATTCCTCCAGAGGGAACGAGCGTGCAGCAAAGCCGTGTGAGTACGGAGCCAGTTGCAGCAACTGCCCAAATGGACACTCGTGTTTCCTCTGGCAGTGTACCCAAACCCCAAGTGCGGACAACTATTTTGGACAAGAAGATTGCAAAATCCGAAGGACAGGACCATCAGCAAATCAACCAATTAATCAATCAGTAGGTCAACCAATGTGCCAGTTGGTGATTTCATCTGGGGAAATCCCGTATAGCCTGGCTTGTACTGGCACACAGTAAGACAGTGCAGTGTTCCAATTAGGTTGAAGGCCATCACACTGCCGCATGCACAACTCAGCGGATTTGGGCCTACCCAAACTACCTGTTCAGATATTGAGTAAGGCATGCCACATACCGTGTTGCTCTACTTGTTTTATCATGTAGCCAATCACCATGAGGAAGAAAAGACATTCAAATACCCATATAATGACGACGAAGCAGTGCACTATCTGAACGGCTTGAGGTGTTAACAGGTGTGCTTCTAAGTGTAGTTGCTCTAACAAGTGAACAATAAAACAGTTACCTGTACTGATTATTTTTCCTTATAGACCACATTAAAGCACCTAGTAGAGTTGACTGGCTGACGTTGCTCCTTAGTGCAACATGGGTAGGGCTCACCTTAGGTCAACTTTTGCTGTGGACCATTGATGACAACTCAAATCACCCAATGAGTAACGCATAATCTACTTCAAAGCTTGTAAAGATATAGCCTTGATGTGACTAGAATTACATCAGTAACGGATCAAGCCTTACAAACCACATTTCAAACTATGGTGAAACATGGGCAATGTGGCAATGAGATGGCCTTCGATCTGTTTTGAGCAATCCACAGCATTGTACTGTGTGTCAATGCAAGCGAGGGTAAGTTAGATTGCCTTCAGATGGAGTGGTTAAGTGACTCATTAACTGACTGATTGATTGTTTGATAGTTGGACGAAGACATCTTAGCTAGGTGCGGTAATGACAGTGCTCACGCCTTCAGAGGGAGCCGTCGTGTGAATATGGCGGTAGATGCGCGAACTGCCCCAAGGGATACTCGTGCTTTCACAGAGGGTGCACCAAGAATCCCAAAATTCAGACAAGCATTCCCGACAATGAGATTGAAGAATTTCAAGGAGAGAACTCTGTCAGAATGCATGTTTTTGAAGTCCCAACCGACTACAGGTTGGAATGGCTACAACTTATCTTGCGTCCCCTACGCCATACATCACGTTTCCCATTACTTCCATTGCATCCGCTTTTCCCACTTTTGCTTTCACGATACCATGTAATTTTGCTAACAGTGTCGATAGATTGAATGCGCTGCCTACAACTCTTGCCTTTTGGCCAAATATTGGTTGGCACTATGAAGGCATGGATACATGTGTGAATGAAAACCTAGCTTTGGTGGATTGTGAGTATGTGCAGTGTGTGGAAGATAGGGCATAAAAGTGCGCATGAACGTATAATTTGGGAGCAGGAGCAAAATTAAATCCTGTGTAGAGTGATGTGGATTTTGAGTCCACTTGTAAATGCTGTAGAGTGGAAAAGTGTGTTTGTTATGGGGATTCAGCTGCACGGGCTCTGTAGAACTTACTTAACTGTAATGTAATGTAATGGAATGAGTTGGACGATACCTCGTTCAGATCACTTCTTCCAACAAGTCCATTGAAGTGTTTTGCATTGCCGAAATGCAAGGCATTAAAGAATAGTATGCAAAAGCAAATGAGTCGACCGAAGACCTTAAATGCCTGCCTTAATAATTACTCATATGCAGGTTGCACGATGCCACCAAAGTGCTTCCTAACGTATGCTTGCCATAGTAACTGCACACGCGTGTGTTAGTAGACGCTCTCCACTCTCATTCACCCACGACTGTGTTCCGTAAGAACCACTTTGTCTGGAACCTATGTTGGAATGTTTGTGCTTTGCATGTGGGAATGGCAACTTCCAACGTCACGTCGAGTTGATGATTTGGGAAGATGTGCGTGCAGACATCTGTACATTTGAATAGTGCCTGTCCTTCTCTGAGGTGCTACTTTGTAATGCGCATTAGTCTTGAGTTTGAAGGTCACTTCCATGATGATAATAGTGCATTTGATGTGTCCATTGCTTGTTTTGTTTACAGTCGGTTGCCGCATAATTGTAGACTGAAATGTTAGGAATGGAAAGGTAAAGGACACAGTCACATTCCTTGTGGTGGATATTGAAGGGCAAGTTAGAGCAAGGCATTTTCTACCTTTAACGTGGCCATGTTTACATTTTGCTCTTAATCAATTTATTGTAGTTTTCATTTTGCCCAAATGGATTGGGTTTATGTCACCGCATTTGAAGTGGACAAGCTGACCACTGACGTATTTCCTCAAAGTTGTTGGATCATTTAATTGCATGGCCTTAGCTTGAAGCATTTTCTTCCTCAGGTGCTAATAGTCAGATGGCAGCAAGTGAAACAATTTAGTGTAGTATTTGCGGGTATTGAGAAAGCGCAATTCGCTTACGTCTGTTTTGCATATCTGATAAATTGTGTTAAAAGCATAAGGCCACCATATTTCCGCTCGCTTGTCACAAGTTTATTTGCAGATCAGTGCTGTTTCTAGGTTTCTTGATGTGGTTATTCCTCCATTGTATCGCGATGTTTTAGGATTACATCTGGCATTGGACGAATTGCCTGATCTCACTTGCCTTAACAATATCATGCAATGCGATTGACATTGTAAATGTACCTGTTTCATTGAAGAATACTTTTAAGCGACTGTAATTTGTGCCTGTTTCAGTGGTGGCTACTATCGACGCATTTTAGCAGAGCGTTTAGCGGGATGAAAAACTGAACCAAGTAGATGCCGCAGATTTGTCTATGCAGAATAGAAGCAAAAAGTGAAAGGAGACTGCACACCTTCCATGAATGTGGATGACCCTCTTAATTGCATACCCTTTCCACTTGGCTGAAATGCTCAACGGAGTTGTCTATGTGAAAGCTGCCTCTAATGACTGATTGGGTGAAAATGGAGTGATTGCAGTGACATATAATGATACCATTAGCTGACTCTCGGGTTGATTTTGGCATTTCCCATTTGATTAATAAATGTTAGATTAACATAATTTGAGACCTATACGATAAAAGCTAGTTTGCATTGGTTGGTGTGATCCCTGCCTCATGCAACATGAGTACAACATGAGTGGAAGCATGACATATTGTGTTGGCAAACTTATTTCAGTTTACCACTATACCACGTCAGCACATTGCAATGGTCATTTCTTCGTCACAAGGTGATAGGTTTCTGCCTTCAGGTTGCAATAGTATGGAGTGTGGAATAGAATGAGACGTGGATTTGTACTACCGAGAAGTGGATTGTTAACTTACAGGTTAGACGTATGAGTGGGAGTCGTGTCAATGGAAATTGCGGTGAGGCCGATGACGTATAATAAATGAGGACGAAAGCAGAAAGAGTGTTGCATCATGTTAATGCTGTTAAACTGTTTTCCAATGCTTAAGGTGTTGGTTACGTCACTGCTCTGGGCTGATAAAGGCCAATACAGCAGAGAAGGTGGGGAATTGAGTGGTGAAAATAGAAAAGAGGGATTGGAGACTGCATGAGTGATTGCTGACTGCATGAGAGGGAGTTGCTTGAAGGGGCCAAGTGCCAGGATGTGGTTTACGTTGGGATGATGAAGAAGAGGTGGTGAAGGAGGAGGAGGATAAGAAATGTTAAGTGAGGCGGCAGACGGCAATGTGGCTGTGGATGGGAGGAGGCGAAGTACACATTTATGAGATGTGCAGTCGAATTTAAGTGGTGAACAGAATGACTGTAAACATGGGTATTGTCTTGAATAAACAGTTGTGAGGGGTGACCGATTTAGATGTCACAGAAGTCAATGATAGTAAATATAACGAAGGAATGCATAAAGACATTCATAATGGATTTATTTTGCGTTTCTACTTATGGACCAAATTAGGGATGTCACTCATAATTTTGGTGAAATAATTAGGCAATATGTTGATAATCGTGATTTGGCTATGTGAAAGTCACTTCATTTCACTTTCCATAGCATTACAGCGATTACCTGTTAGAAACTGGCTTTTCACACTCCTCCTCCAGAAGCTTAGTAATTCTGTTCTCCGACAAGTCCTGACGACGAAGACTGCTTGGCAGTGCAGATTTCCTCAACTTTTGACAGATGCGAGTCAGACGCAAACATCGCGGAGCCTTGGCAACTGGTCACATTCGGTAGTTCTCTACGCTTAACACAGTCAAATCCGTCGAGAGCATTATACGAATGTTGAATCCCTTCTGGCCCATATTTCCTTGATATACAGACTGGCAAGGCAAAGCAAAAGCACCCGAAGTCCATATTAAACCTATCGGATCACAACATTGCGCAGTGTGGGCTAGTAAGTTGCCTCGACTCCAGTTTGTAGTCAAACAAAAACACAAATAACGCAATAAGCAATGTCCTAACGAAAACACTATTTTTCAATTTAAGCAATGTTTTACACGGGAAAAGCATTTTGTTATGTATTATAATATGCACTGTAATAAAATGCATTTGTATTCCATATTGCACTTTCGGTTTCATGAAGGCAAACTACTTTATCTAAATTTTTGTAATGCACTTCTAGGTTTCTAATGAAACAAACCTTTTGGTATTTAACTTGCATCTAGTTGTGACAGAGAATAATTTGATATCGACCTGTGTGCCCACCTATCCCTCTAGCCATTGTCTTTGTAGACAATAAGCTTTTGTCATTGAGGAAAGAGGATGTTTTGATTTGCGCAAAGGAAAGTCGAGAGGGATGTTCTCCCCTCTGAATGAAGGTGGTCTAGAGGCTGTCGTTGCAGTTGTGGGTCAGTGGATCGGTAATTAGGTACATGCATTTAAGCTTATTCATCATTTTAATCGGTGCTTATTTATAGACTAGCGTTCATTAATTTATACCTTTTCGCATATTTGAGTTGAACAACGGTGTATATACAACATGACGGGTCAGCTTTTCTCTCCACATTGCAGTTGCTCACCCTCGGATTGAGAAGCATGTGTAATTCAGTGATGAAATTTTTAAGGTAACTAAGTCCTAAAGGGGTCAGAGCCTATTTCTTCCTTCGGGATTAAAGGTGTGCCCTTCTTCTCGTGGTTGACGTAACAGGACAGCTTCTCACCTGAAGGGTCCATTCAAATAGCCATAAATTACAACAATAGCAATCAGTCCGTGGTGAAGCCACTTTAACTTCACTATTTTGGTAATTTGAGTGGGATCACTAGAGAGGATGGAACAAACACCTTCTGATGTTTTTTCTAAATAACACAAGGCAATTTTGAATAGTGCCCTGTGCATAATGGTGCATGCCATCTGTGTAGAAATTAATTCATACCGTTTGTCAATGATTGAGCACTCGAATTTGGGGTTCCGAATTTTACTAGCATGTATTTTCAGTTGTCCATGATAAAGCACCTGCAAATAAGTGATTGCACTCACCACCTACTGCTAATTGGTACTCAGTGTAAGCCTGCTTCCATCTTAAATAGACCAATTGCAAATCCTAAAGCAAGCCACAACTATTATATGCTCCTGTGAGTAGACGAATATTACAGCAGCTGAGGAGCCATGTTGCCACTCAAACATGGATTCTGTGTGGAATTCGTCCTGAGAGATAGTTGCCATCTTTGTGAGATGCAATTTCCCTCATTTTGCACCAGTAGTGCTCTGGGCTCTGGGCTGCATTTGGATGTGGAGGTTTATTTAAACATATATAGAAATATCAATGATAATATGCAGCTTTCAGTTACTTGCTAAGTACTATTAATTGGCAAGCAAACAGTCTGTTGTGAGACATTCTGTTTAGGTATTTGGTGATTTGGCGGTGTGCCCATGCACGTGATTGACGTTTCAAAGTCACTCAGCAACTCATCATGATCCAGTTCGAGCTAATTTGGATGAAGATGAATTCAGATTATTTCAGGAAAGAAGACGAGGAGAGAGGATGGAGAATGATATGAGAACAGAGGTGAGAAGTGCACACATAGTCTAAGATAATGCCTCGATTTGAAGCAGAAACGACAGTTTAATCTGTTTGAATCTAGGTAGGGTGTAAAATAAACTCCGTTCTATCCACGACCGTGATGGCAGAGGTGAAGGAGAGGAGCAGTAAACGTGATGCACTGATCGCAGTAAAGGGGGTGTCCCTTCATTTTTCATAGGAAAGTCGTACTTGTCGTCAATAAGAAAGACTAGATACTGTACAGAGGGTTCCTCCATCGTTTTCAACAAGTAGGAGACCGCGATATGTTGTAGGCAAAGTGTCTACAACTATTGGCAGAACGAGGAACGTGGTCGCGAAATGGATAACCATTCGCCTCCAATAAGGTGTTCAAAAAGTGGTGCGGCATGGATGCACTCACCACTTAACGAGGTAATAATGTTCCCAACAAAGAAGTGTCAGGAGTTTCACCGATCCCATCTCGTTTATATGTGAGTGGATTTCGGTTCCATTACAGAGGAAAGCTACTTATTGACGAAGAGTAGGAATGGAAGGCTATGGGCACAGCTACACTATTGAGGGGGACTTAAAAATTTTGCGCTGCTGATCATAAAGTTAAAGAAAATATTGTCAGCACACTTTGTCAATTTAGGTATCAACATTTTTCAACCATCTAATTTTAAGCACCTTTGGTCATCAGGATTATGGTCATATCTCCCACCAAAGGAATGACCTAAGCCAGGTTTGTTGCTCCAGGAGTTGGTGAAGACCCACAAACATGTCCACGGGGTCCACTCAATTGAGAGCCCCTAGCCAATCCCTCTTTTTCAGCACCCACACAATTTAATTAGCCCTGATTAGGGTAGTCGCCTTCACAAATTGAGATCAAGCATTTTCAAATGGACCACCTGTAAAGTCGCCGACTATCACATATGAGTTGTATACCAATGAAGCTCATGGATGCAGACAGTATCAGGAGACTATTGTACACAATCATATACGACGATCGTGATATCCTATGTGTATTAACCATGTCAATAGGGCCAACTGACCTGACAGATTTGCAAAATGTAAGACAATCTTTGATTCCTTGGTAGGCACATATGTATTTGTTCGTCTCGATCATGTTGGGAATGTTGCAGCTACGACGTTTGTGTTGTAAAGCTAGCAGAAAAGAAAGGCAAAGTTGAAGAAGAATAAAAATACAACAATCTGCAAAGTTTTTAGCTATCCGCTGACCACTACTGGAGAAGGTTACTACAAGGTGCATGGACTGAGGAAACGTGTAGGATTACTGTTGTTTACTACGCCGTATCCAGAGCTTCTCAGCCCCTCTCTTCACTACTAAGTAGCATTTCTCTGTACTGGTAGGACTAAGCACGACTGTGGAAACGATGTAGTGATTGAATCGGACTCGAAAGCTGCTTCTCTGATTCGTATATATAGTTGCACCATCGTAGCATAACGGAAAAGCAGAGGTCATCGATAGTGGATGGTCGCCTCTGCAAAGACCTGACTCTGACGGGTCGAAGTGATGTCTACATTTGGTAGCCATCATAGCTGACGTGCCGAAGAGGAAACAGTGTCAACAAAAGCAACGTTACCTTATCTGGATGAATATGTATTTCATTGCAGAACCGCGTGGTCTACGTACCTGATTGCGTGGATGAATAATACTAATAATAACAATGCCGCGTCTTCAGCTAAGTGCAAATCAGATGTTCAAATAGGCAGCTTTGGAGAGGGAACAAAGTAGCAACGAATAATCCTGCAGCAAGAAACCACTGAATAGATGTGTTAAAATTTAACCCTGACCATATTAATCATCAGCGTTGGGATCAAATGTGTCTTGGCCACGATTAATAATGTGTCCACTAACGTTCTTGGCTCAGAGCGGATGGTGGAAACAGAAAACAGTGAAAATGAAAAGCGACAAAATGAAGGGATTGGAACGTGATATGTTCCTCTATTTTGGATAACATTGAATGACACACTGCAATCTGTCCGAGAATCCATGGTGCTTCTGTACGCTCTGAGTAAATTTCTTATGTTGGATTAGTGGTCGGTGTTGGCATTGACAGAACTTGCAGGCGATAGACGGTCAGGGAACACGAATCTTATTGTAGAACAGGCGTCATCTGTCCCGAAGGAGGAACTGTGCTCTGTACGACCAAAACAGTGATAAGCTTACCCCTTATATAATGCCACCAATAAGAAATGCTGTCATCTAATCAGTCCATTGGCTGAAAGAAAATGAGGGCCGAGGCGAAAGAGTTTAGAGCAAAAACCATTCTACTTCTGGTGGCGATGTAGGACTTATCCCTTAAGAGAAATTCGTGAATTTCAAGAGGATACTTAAAACCATTTGATTGGACTTCTGTTTCTACCCGCACCAGCGGAAGACACTTCGGAGTCAAAAGTGCAGGAAGCTCAATCTGCCAATAGTTGCTGGTCCTTTGAGCACACTGCAGCGATGTCCTTCATGCCACAAATGCGACAGAAGACCACTCTGGTGAGGCTTTGCTCTTCCTCATTGATGTCGAGTTGGGCTAACGTGGTGTAGCATTATTCCAGCCCGAAGACCTGGTGAAGTGCATTGATTGTGAAGCATTCCTTGACTCTGGGGGTGGAGCTTTTGTTCAGATATGGCACTATTAACACTTGTGTGAAGTCCGTGTCATCATCGAAAGGGAGATGGTTTGCCAGCACTGCCACTAGTGCAATAGGTTCAGTGTATACCTATTCCACATCGGACCTCCTCCATTTGGAATAGACGGACCCTTCTGTAAGAGGACATCTTTACTGGATCATGGTTATACAGGATGGGATTGCATTTCCTACTCAGGGATTAGTGGCGTCCACTCAGTCACAACTTTCACACATACTGAACATTGCTTGACTAGAAGGTATATCCAAGCAACCTGGTTGGTTGTGGGTCTGATTAGACGTCACCACCACCTAGGGAGGAAGGAGAAGAGGAGGAGGAGAAGAGATAAACCATTGCTCAAGGTAAAGTAGAATTGTTTGTGCAACCCCACAATGCTGCCACACATGACGTCTTCCTCTGCTGTTTAAACTTGCAAGTAAGGGAATAATCCTGCAGCAACTGGAGTTTGTGTGCATTCCAATGGAAGCCATTCCATAGCTGTGTACTAATACAGCTGTCGTTGGTGTCAGCCTTCATTCAGTTGGAACGAGTCGACTCATTGGATGAGGACATTCCTGATTCGTACCATAATGAAGGAGGTGCAGCAATCAATGTCATGCATGTTTAGAGTGCACTTGCCACTTGGGATGTGAGGAAGTCAGTTGCATCAGGAGGATTATTTTCAGGCACTTTCAGATTCACAGTTGGCGCTACGGCACGTTGTGTCAACTATGTCATCCACCAAGACCTGCTATAAATCAACCCACTTCATGAACTTGCATTGTGATTCGTCATTGCAGAGTCATAAGAGTCCAACGGATTGCTCACCATCAAGCACATTTTCTCAACCTTGTGCTTATCTCCACCCCATACTTCAAAAGCGTGTCACACACTTCATAAACGTTAATGTGTGCACTGGAACACACGAAGACATTGAAAGTGTAATGATGGGTTGGGTGACATAATGGATCACCAATTTGAAAACACGTACGGAATATTACATTGTCAAGAGAAATGGTGACACAAGCAAGAAACGCATTTCAGGTTCCTTGCGGCTACCCTGTGAAGGAACACACTTTAACCACATGTAATTCAGTCATCTTAAAAGGATTTTGAGGACTTACAATCAGCATGTGGCGGAGAGTCCACAGCGTCAACCAGAATTCTGCATTAGTACTGATCTTCTGTTATTGGTGCAACTGAACAGACCCTTCTTACCACGTTTGACACTTCAAAATGTCAAGCAGTGAACTCCAGTGATGATCCACCGTTCGTCTTGTGGCAAGAAGAAATTTGTCAAGCCGTTTTGGTGTTGGGAATACCACTGATGTAAAGAGTTCATTCCCAACTCACATAACATCGAGTCTTTGGCAACTTCGCATTTGGGAAATGGCATAAAACACACGAAGAAGTGGGTGTCGCCATTTGCGAATCCAGAAGGTGGGTAGAGCTGATGTGACTTGGATAAACAAAATTACAATTTCATCTAAAAATTGGTGCTTATATTCCCTGATTTCCTTCACAGGAGAAAAGTTATTCAAAAGAGCTTGAAATGCAAAGAACATTGTTGCATCGATAGAGGATCCAGATCACACAAGAAATGGCATGAGTACTCCACTCATTACAAACGATCGCCTGCTAGCGTGGTCCTCACTTTGATGCCTTCTCAAAATGCCTAATTTCACCTATGATCCTAGGAATCTGATAAAAGTACTCGTCAGTGTAGAAGAGCACATCTGCGTGCCTGTTGTTTTGAGATGAGATGTTAATCAGTGCATTTTGGCAGCGGAAAAAATCGACTCACAAAGGCTAGCAGTCACGAGTTGTGTAGGCAATGAGACTGACAGAGGTGTTAACAACATTGTTTGGTGATTGGAAGGCCTGATAATACCCAGTTTCTATCACACCTGACAAAGTGGAAATGTAATGGATAGTAGTGCAGCCTCCTCTTTAATCCATCCACCCACTTTTCTCTATTTGACTTGTTTTATGTTGCCCTACTTAGTAGCTGACAGGGTGATCACACCAAACCTCACTATCGTTTATTTATACGGTATTTAGTGGGAATTCCTGCTTGCGCGCTATCGTTCCACTGACCCAGTCATCAGCCACAATCCTCATCGCCATTAACGATGCCAGTGCAGTACACTTGTGTGCGCGTTAGTCATGCATTCTCTCCATGCGAGTCAACGTATTCACTGTTTCCAGCTGTCTACTCGGAAGAGACTGGGTCCACGTTATTAAGTATGCATTGAATCAACTGTCACTTTCCAGCAGTCAGTGTGCATACTTTAAGACTTCATGATTGCTGTTTTCTCCTCCCTAATTGCCTGTAGTCACTTAATCTGCACGAACTCGGAGACAGCGATGGAGTCGTGGCTGAAGTGGTTAAATCTTGCGTTGGAGGTCCTTCAACGCTGGATGCTAGAACACTTTGCCCGCCTGGCACGGTATGACTTGGGTCTCACTTTCAGCCAATCCGTGGCAGCCTGCATCGCTATTCTACTCGACTTATGCAGTGGTAACTGCTCCTCCTTTCACAACCAACCCTTTTCTTGCATTTTCACCCTGTCCTTCTTCACCATCGTCCATTCGTTGACCCCGCCTTTCTTCCCTTATAAGCTCCTGTAAATTTACATAAAGAAGTCATTTTTCTCGATTGTAGACCTTTCAAATGCTCTTTGATAATGGTTCTGGACTCAGTAATGGTTCTGGCGGACACCTACGTTAATTGAAGACTTGTCACACATCAAAGAATGCTCGTTGTCGTTTTCTGGGTTAATTCGGTTTCAGAGTTCCCCAAGGTGGGCATTAGAACGAAGGAATGCAGAACACAGTACTGCGAGTTGCTTTGAATACTTGGAATCATGTGATCGTTTACGGAGAGGTGTGTCATGTTTACCATGGTGTGCATCGTGTGTCACTGTTCCATTTTCCTATTTCAATGGGGAGGCATGAACTTTAATGCTCCAATCTATCCTCAACTGGGAACTCAAAAGCTCGTACGGAAGATTGATAAGCCGCCTCTATATCGGTACCACGCCATCGTAGGGGGATGAGACACTTTTGGCCAAGTATTTAAATGTTGGGCCAAGTCAAAACCACGGTCCCTTGAGAAAATCGGTTGTCGATGCCCCAAAGTTTATTGTTATCATGCATCACCAGGAGGAAATCGGACAATTCACAACAAGAGATCAAATGCTGCAGAAGATGGATGAATGTTTTGTGCGGATGAAGCTCATGAATAATAGTTGGTTGTTACAAGTCTTTATAATTCTTTCTGAATGTGGAATTGATCATCACCCAATATGCGAAAGCCTAACAGGTTTTGAGCTGATTTGCAGCCCACCGAGGATTCCCTGAAGAGGAAAGAAAAAGTAATACAATAGGTGACGACTTTTAACTCAGATTCTCGATGATCACTATACCTTGGGAAATAATTCATGATTTTGCCATCACTACTGCTTGTGGTGTGCCTACTGGGGCTTGCAGCACCCTCGGAGGGGAAGCGTAAATTTGGCTCCTCCAACATACAGGTCTTTGGCAAGTCGAATACTGAAAAATGTGATGTGACGAACATCTTCATTGAGGCAGGTGTTGCTACTAAATTAGTTTGTAAAGCGTCTCCAGATTACCAGGCGTCATGACGGTGGATTTATCCTTAAGATAAGGGATAGTTCGGGACAAGCCCCTCAAATCCACTCAATGCCGTTAACACTACTTCCGTGCAAGTACGCATTTGTGTATTTGTATGTAATTTTCCGTATTTGCAAGAACTTCTATGCATATATTTGCCATCACGAGTTGGCTAGTAGCTCACACAGTTCCTTTGGATTAAATACACAACCACGAGTGTAAATACGCAAATAAACTGTTCGGAAAAGCAGTAGGCAATAATGTTTGGCCCTCTGCTGCTTACCACTCCTTTGAAGGAATCAATGCGCAGCATTTGTGGTGGCACAGGGTGAATGCAGGGAAGACCTTCGCATTCCCAACCGCGTCTGCGCGAGTTTATTAAGAGGCCACAGTGAAGTACCTTCATTCATATAACTCCTATGTGTTGTTTTGAATTGCATGACAAAGATATGGCGATTGGAGTGATGAGTGAAGGACATGTGGGCCGCATTTCAACTGAGGAATAACCTGTATTCGAGGGTTTTCAATGACAGCTAACTTGTCGTTCCTTAAGGATAGAGCATTTAGCACTCCCTACCTTGGTAGTTCAGATAATTTAAACAGTGGGATAGCACGAAGTAGTTAGAAGAACACCTCAGCCAGTGTGAGCACTGGTAGCCACCCTTGTCGACACACAGAAGTAGAAGTAGCATCGAGTGTTCCATTGCCATAATTGCCCATTGTTTCACATGTTCTCCTTGGATATTCATTGCGGCAACAGGAGTTCCGCCAAATTTGTTCGTTTGTACTGCATGAGAGTGTTTTGCAACATTCATGCGACCACTTCTTGACATTCAGATGCCTGTGGCATGGCGAGACTTCCCTGAATACGTAGGAAGGCAGAATGCGCGGGCTGAATATGTATTGCCGATGTGGAGTACGGGTTGGGGCTACAGGCATGGCCAAAGGACACGCCGCCCGGTGAAGGTACAAGGGGAGAGGTCCCAAGTGATCCATTGCCACAAACCGAGAGTTAAACTTCATAATGCGTAATCGTTCTCCTCTTGTAAACGCAGTTCGTGGTGCTCCTTTTGGTCCACGTCTCGCACCAGCCATCCAAACGTCGTTGGTGCTGTTAACAAAAGCACCCACCAACCGTCTATCAGCAGAAACGTGGATTGTGAAGATATGAGAGGAGTTGGCTCGAAAGTTAGAGGAAGTCAACAAACCGAGCTGTCACTCAACAAATTTCATGCACTATCGCTAACTGCAAATCCCACCTTACCTATTCGAGCTGCAATTCATTTGCAATGTGTTCAGGTGGAGTTAGTTGAATGCCTTATAGATAGTGACGTTGTGAGTGGCATCAGTAGTGCTGCCATTCACTAAGTAGAGTTGCCTTACGATCCGTCACATTGTAGCAAGTGTGAGTTCTTGAAAGACGTACCGTTTACAGCAGGATTATGCTCGAAATCTCATCTATGATGCAGCTGATATACTTGGTATTTGAAGATCACCGCGACTATTAAGCCTCTGCGAATCACCTCCCTCTGCTTTACGTGGAACAGTGAAAAATCCACTTCTTATTGCAATAAACTGATATTCCGACTATGTGTAGCACTGAATGTTTAACTGACCCTGTGCTATGAAAAGGCACACTGATAG